GAGTTGGCGGTGGGTGGTGATGACTAGCTGCCGTCACTCTAGTCTTACACTGCTAAATGAGGGACGGATAGCACAGATAGCCCTCGTGTAGCTTTTTACGAAATTCAAAAACAAACAAAGCTAAAAGAGTAACCCAAGATGGCGGTGAGTGGTTTTTACAAGCTGCTTTCACAGACAGTCCTCTGGTAGCTTTTCGGGAAATTTTAAAACAGATATGTGCATTGAATATTAACTTTCAGTGTAGAACATTTTAGAATATCGATTATCAAAACAAATCAATAATTCCTTACCTTCCCAGGATCTTAGAAACACAACCATGCGACACTCTTAACTGTCGGCTAATATCACAAGGTCGGACACCCTGTTGGGCCATTTCGACAATCCTTTGTCTCACAATGTCCGGTAGAGGGCGTCCATTCACGAACATACCGCCTAATTGGTTAACCCCTCCATGGCCTAACAGGAAACATAAATCCAGAATGTATTGTAGCGTGATAACATTTACTGTCTGTGACACCAGGAATTATTTCAACTCATTCAAGTTGATGATTCATTTAACAACAAAGCACACCAAACACATTATGAATAGAGAAAAAAATCTCGGTGTTTATGAACGTCTTACATTATAATTATCTGTGTAGATGTACAACATTATTTTGTTCTCTTGTGTCTTAGATTATTCTGTCTGGAAAGTTAGTCATATGGGAACTAGGTAGTTGTGTAATCGTATCTATAACAAACAAAACAAAAAACTTGTAACTTATAAAGTTAGTGGTGGCTTTTGTTAGTTAAAACTGTAATTTTATGAAAACAGATATAAAGTTGGAAAATCATAGATTATAATTAAACAGACTTATAACAGTCAGATGTAAGAAACATCAACAGTTATGCTAAGCCTAAAGAAAATTGTTTTTAAAAAGATATTATTAGAAAAATTAAACAGACAGATGTGAGAAACATCAACATTTATGCTAAGCCTAAACAAACTGTCTCTAGAAAGGTATAACCAGAAAGGATAACAGATTGATGTGAGGAACCAGTTTTTACGTTTGTAGACTTTGATTCAATATTCCTGCAATCCTGTTTACCTGATTTTAATAGGTGCCTGCAAACTGTTGCAAGAAGAGTATGCAATCAGGATGCAGGAGAGTAAACATTGAGGATACAGGAGAATAAACATTGAGGATACAGGAGTATATACCGTGAGCGATACCAGATAGTGTACAGTGAGTGAAGCAGAAAAAAATGTACAATGACGATCAGGAAAGGATATAATGCTCGAACCTGGAATCCTAGACGTTCTTAGAGGATCAGTCTCTCTCGCCTTTTCCTGACATACAGTTCTGTTCCACGTACACTTGTTTCTTGGTTAACAGTTCTGTTCCATGCACACTTGTTTCTTGGTTAATTAAACTTCAGTAGCTTCAGTCTATCAGATTTGTAATGATTGTGTTTGTGTCTTATCATATTCAAAGCAAAATTTTTCTGCAGTCGAGAAGCGAAGAAACTTTTACTGATACTTTCATGACATTTTATACAAGATATATTTGCAATCGCGTTTGAATGAAGAAAGTAGAACATTGTCGTTATATAAATGATATACCTAAGGCCAGAGCTCCTTCCAAACACGAGCCCGTTGAGTGCAAAATTAAAGATACAAGTTCAATCCATTTTTCAGAAGCTGGTCAAGTTTAGCTAAATTTAGTACTGATAATTATCGAAACAATTAAAGTGAGGAGACATTTAACAGTTTGATATACATAGCTTAACATTCTATTTTTCCACTAAAATCTTACCTACTGCGCTGGCTTAACACATCTTATAAAGGAAGTGTTAAACGTTCATACCTATATGAATAATACACTTGCGTTTGTCTGTCATGAACTTTTCTCGCAAATTTCTTTATCAAACGCTACAAGTTTCATATCATTAGAAAGGCCTTTGTCCGAGGAGTCTGGGTTGCATATTGGCTTTTCAATTCAGAATCACCTTACCTGTATTTTGCTTAGTCAAATCTTTCAATGCAACGAATATGGTACACGATAGCACAATGCCGTTCTTCTCACGTGACAACTGGCTTCGATTTCAACTTTAGTTTTTATTTGCAAAATATTTTATATAAACAACATTAACCCATGTGCAATTTCCTAAAAAAGAAATTAGCATTACACTAAATACAATTTTTATAGGCTTTCTCGACTTATCTAGGTCTAAAATACCCATGAGCAATTCGTTCAAAACCATATGTTTATCACTTTGTGAACACTCATTCAGACGTTTCTGCATATTCAGCTAAGTTTGCTTTCATTAAACTTTACATTTACTTTATTTTGTAATAATTTAGCTTCGTTTCGTTTTATAGACTGCTATAAACACATTTTAGCTACTTTTTTTCTTTAGTACGTGTTTTATTATTTGTTTTTGTGAGTTTTTGTTTCATAGTCTTCCCACTATTATAAGTACCTTTAATTTGTTGTTTACTTTACATATAGTTTTATTAAATAAAGTTACGCCTAAGTGAGTTTGTTTTTCTGATCGCGTACATTTTTTTTTCAAATAGACCAGGATTTATCATCTAACACATATTTCCTGCAGGAAAATGTAGCTTAAATGGCGTGCGTGAAAATGATAGAATAAGGAAAATTCAATCGAAGGGCATGAAAACTACCGCAAATGTTTTGAGGGTTGCGGCTAATAATATTTAAAACATAGGTGGATAAAGTTCATGTAGAGACGCCCCCCCCCTACAATAATATAAACATTCTAGTTTTCTCCTAAAAGTTCTTTCTTACTGGGCTGACTTACACAACTTATAATACAAGTGTTAAATGTGAGTTAAACGCCCTCTACAATAATATATTAATAAATGGAAATATAATCGGTTACTCAGCTTAAGTGGACTTCTAAGGACAAAAACACATGTATGTACACCGTTGCTTCTCCCAAGAGCTTAATAACACATTGGCCTTCACTTTATGTAATTAATCACTTGTTTCCTGAGCATCAAACCAAGTTAGTGACATTTAATTTCTTAATTAGACGTTAGAGGGACTCACTAATCCCCATGGCGGAAGAGTTAGGGGTAAGTGTGCTGTCACAGGCGTGGGAACGGAAAGGATTAAAAAACGTCCACATATCATTTATATGACTGAAAATTTCATACATAGAGAAATACAAAAGATTTTGAAGCGATTGGAAATGTTATCAACTCTTGTAGTTATGAAAAACTACAAAAGAATATGAAATGTGTCTTCTGAGGTTGTATTAAAAGTAAAGAACCTATAGGTGTCAAACTTTCCAGTTAAACTTTGACATTGAATATATATATGTTAAGAACCATTCCAATTACAAGTCTAATAACATGACAATATGATAACAATATCATAAACCATTTCAATTACAAGTCTAATAACATGGAAATATAATAACAATATCATGAACCATTTCAATTACAAGTCTAATAACATGACAATATAACAATATCATGAACCATTTCAATTACAAGTCTAATAACATGGAAATATAATAACAATATCATGAACCATTTCAATTACAAGTCTAATAACATGGAAACATAATAACAATATCAATACACATTTTTCACATGCCTGAACATTTCCATCCCGCACTTTCAATGTATATGAAGTGTAATAATTAAATTAATGTTCGTATCAAAAGCACAAAAAACCAAGGCCGTTATTTCATTCAAAAAGAGGATCTGATATAGACTTTACTTCTAGCTTTAGGATCTGGTTATCTAGTATAGACTTTACTTCTAACTTTATGATCTGGTTATCTATTATAGTCTTCACTTCTAACTTTATGATCTGGTTATCTAGTATAGACTTCACTTCTAACTTTATGATCTGGTTATCTAGTATAGACTTTACTTCTAGCTTTAGGATCTGGTTATCTAGTATAGACTTTACTTCTAGCTTCAGTGTCTTGTTATCTAGTATAGTCTTTACTTCTAACTTTAGTGTCTTGTTATCTAGTATAGTCTTTACTTCTAGCTTTAGTGTCTTGTTATCTAGTATAATCTTCACTTCTAACTTTATGATCTGGTTATCTAGTATAGACTTTACTTCTAGCTTTATGTCTTGTTATCTAGTATAGTCTTTACTTCTAGCTTTAGTGTCTTGTTATCTAGTATAATCTTCACTTCTAACTTTATGATCTGGTTATCTAGTATAAACTTTACTTCTAGCTTTAGTGTCTTGTTATCTAGTATAGTCTTTACTTTTAACTTTATGATCTGGTTATCTAGCATAGACTTTACTTCTAGCTTCAGTGTCTTGTTATCTAGTATAATCTTTACTTCTAACTTTATGATCTGGTTATCTAGATAGTCTTTACTTCTAATTTTATGATCTGGTTATCCAGTATATACTTTACTTTTAACTTTAGGATCCGGTTTTCTAGTATAATCATTACTTCTAGCTTTATGATCTAGTTATCTAGAATAATCTGTACTTTTAACTTTATGATCTGGTTATCTAGTATAGACTTTACTTCTAACTTTGAGATCTGATTATCTAGTATAGTATATATATATCTAGTATATATAATTTTTTTAACTATAGGGTTTTGTTCTTCAGTATAGATTTTGTTTTCAACTATATGATCTGAATATCCATTATAGTTTGTTCTTTTTACCTATAGGATCTGGTTTTTCAGTGTAGTCTGTACTTCTAACTAATGGTTTTTCCATTATATTTTGTTTATCTAGCTATAGGATCTGGTTCTCTAGCATAATCTGTAGTTCTGAATACAGGACCTGGCATTTTATCGTAATCTTTACATCGAACTACAGTATCTGGTCCTCTAGTGTAGTCTGTACTTCTAACTACAGGATCTGGTTCTCTAGCATAATCTGTAGTTCTGAATACAGGACCTGGCATTTTAGCGTAATCTTTACATCGAACTACATTATCTGGTCCTCTAGTGTAGTCTGTACTTCTAACTACAGGATCTGGTTCTCTAGCATAATCTGTAGTTCTGAATACAGGACCTGGTATTTTAGCGTAATCTTTACATCGAACTACAGTATCTGGTCCTCTAGTGTAGTCTGTACTTCTGACTACAGGATCTGGTTCTCTAGTGTGGTCTATACTTTTAGTTTTAAAACTTACATCTCAATTTTGGTTCTCAGTTGTTTATTTTATACACAGAGTTTCTTTATTTTGTCAATTCTACACCGATAGACAGTGAATATTAGGACGTTGGGATGTAGTCTTCTTGTATCGACATGTTACTTACTTTTACATGAATAGTTCTCCATTAAGCTGCCATTACACCGATAGGCAGTAGTTGAAAGGTCCATTGCCGAGGAGTTTTTTTCTACAATTGCGCAGATCTGACCGTGCGACACTGGACATAGATGAGGGGAATGGGTGGATCCGGGACAGCAAGTATCACAATAATATCATTTCACAGAAACTGCCATTACACCGATAGGCAGTAGTTGAAAGGTCCATTGCCGAGGAGTTTTTTTCTACAATGGCGCAGATCTGACCGTGCTACACTGGACATAGATGAGGGGGATTGGTGGATCCGGGACAGCAAGTATCACAATAATATCATTTCACAGAAACTGCCATTGCGCCGCTTCACAAATAATATATTCAGAACTACGTGAAAAGTCTGGAATAGCTTCTTGCCTCAACAGGACCCTACGGTTGGCTGAGGTGGGCCGAGGGCGCGTTCCAAGTCATGTGACTTGTGACAACTGGAAAATAATGTATTTAAGACTTTTGCGATGAATGTTAATAACGGATTTTGTACATGTAATTTCTGCTGAATTTAACAGAAAGAAATCTTGGAAGCGTAGAACAATTCTTGATCTACGTTATAGAAACAATGCTGATATAAAGTTTGATCTATGTCATAGAAACAATTACTGATATAAAGCTTGATTTACGTCATAGAAATTATCACTGACATAAAGCTTGATCTACGTCATAGAAACAATTACTGATATAAAGTTTGATCTACGTCATAGAAGCAATTACTGATATAAAGCTTGATTTACGTCATAGAAATTATCACTGATATAAAGTTTGATCTACGTCATAGAAACAATTACTGATATAAAGCTTGAACTACGTCAGAGAAACAATTACTGATATAAAGTTTGATCTACGTCAGAGAAACAATTACTAATATAAAGTTTGATCTACGTCATAGAAACAATTACTGATATAAAGTTTGATCTACGTCATAGAAACAATTACTGCTATAAAGCTTGATTTACGTCATAGAAATTATCATTGATATAAAGCTTGATCTACGTCATAGAAACAATTACTGATATAAAGCTTAAACTACGTCATAGAAATAATTACTGACATAAAGTTTGATCTACGTCATAGAAACAATACTGATATAAAGTTTGATCTACGTCATAGAAACAATACTGATATAAAGTTTGATCTACATCATAGAAACAATTACTGATATAAAGTTTGATCTACGTCATAGAAACAATTACTGATATAAAATTATTTCTACGTCATAGAAACAATTACTGATATAAAGCTTGATCTACGTCATAGAAACAATTACTGATATAAAGTTTGATCTACGTCATAGAAATTATTACTGATATAAAGCTTGAACTACGTCATAGAAATAATTACTGACATAAAGCTTGAACTACGTCATAGAAATTATTACTGATATAAAGCTTGAACTACGTCATAGAAATAATTACTGACATAAAGCTTGTACTACGTCATAGAAATTATTACTGATAAAACAGTTGACGATTGTTAAAATAACTTGGGTGAAAATTGAAAATATCATTGTAAAAAATTATTACATTAAATGTTTTCTTAAACGTTTCTACTATGTGTGAAACATCTTAACACCCTTTTTTGTTTTTTAACGTATATAATAGATTGTTACAACAGAAACTACTTCTAGCTGTTATGTTTCTTGATAGATTGTTGGTGTTATACAATACCCACCAGTTCTAACTATTATATTTGTTGTCAGATAGAACACATTGTTAACACACAATAGAACTGGATTGTTGGTTTTATACAATACCCACCAGTTCTAACTATTATATTTGTTGTCAGATAGAATACATTGTTAACACACAATAAAACTAAATATAATAGTTAGAACTGGTGGGTATTGTATAAAACCAACAATCCTTAACAATGTGTTCTATCTGACAACAAATATAATAGTTAGAATTGGTGGGTATTGTATAAAACCAACAATCCAGTTCTACTGTGTGCTAACAATGTGTTCTATCTGACAACAAATATAATAGTTAGAACTGGTGGGTATTGTATAAAACCAACAATCCAGTTCTATTGTGTGTTAACAATGTGTTCTATCTGACAACTCTGTTCTATCTGACAACAAATATAATAGTTAGAACTAGTGGGTATTGTATAACACCAACAATCCAGTTCTATTGTGTGCTAACAATGTGTTCTATCTGACAACAAATATAATAGTTAGAACTGGTGGGTATTGTATAAAACCAACAATTCAGTTCTATTGTGTGTTGTTGTATAAATGTACTACATTAATGTGTTGTAGAACTAACTATAACAACTCATTAGCTTTGTAGAATTCTATTTGAGCAACATTTTGAATTCGGTGTTTCTTGATGAAAAGAAGATTAATATATAATACACATTTTGCTGTTATCTTAATAAATATGTAAACTTAACCCCTATAGATCTTGTAAAAAAATGTACGTTATACTTCCAACAGGCCTTGTAAAGGCCAAATATGCACGTTATATATTGAACAGATGTTGTGAAGGCCAAAACGTATTTTTTTCACCCCCAACAAGTATTGTAAAGGCCAACGCATTGTTTCCAAGACCACGACTATTGTGAAGGCTACAGCGTGTTTAAAATATGCACGTTATATATTGAACAGGTGTTGTGAAGGCCAAAACGTATTTTTTTTCACCCCCAACAAGTATTGTAAAGGCCAACGCATTGTTTCCAAGACCACGACTATTGTGAAGGCTACAGCGTGTTTAAACTTTTGTTCTCCAGTTATTGTCGGAAACACACTTGCATTTATTTTCTGAACCAATAATTACAGCATATATGAGAGATGTTTCACAAAGATAACATTTATCTTTTTACCCTTTAAAATTTAAAATATTTTGATTTAAGTTCAAAAAATTTATTTCGTCTTTGCTTTAATGATGTACTTGTCAACTAAGAAATTTCACACGCACTGAGCAGAATTAGCTAAACATAGATTTCAAAGCCAGAAAGGACATTTTCTCCACTGTTTACTGAATTAGAACACAGACTGTAGTGTGTGTGTGTGTGTGTGTGTGTGTGTGTGTGTGTATAGAGCTTTAAACGTTTTTACGTAGCCTTGGAGACGTGAATATAATCTCGGTTATAACAGCTGTTCTAGAAAAACTGGTTAAACACCGCGAATGTTGTAAGTCGTACGTCATTCAAAACAGTTGAAACGAGGAATGTCGAATCTGAAGAAAGCTACAGAGCATGACGTCGTTAATCATTCTGTGTTATACTTGATACATGGGTTGAAAGGTTCACTGCTGTGTTTAATGAAGATCTCTGTTGTGCATTTCTTATGTTGAGACACCATTTTCACCTAACACAATGAAAGTACACAGTTCACAAATTTCCTAACACCAGCAATTTTTAAACCTAATAAAAGAAAGGGACCTTCTCTAAATTAGCACGGAGGGCCTTATAAAGGTTGTCGGAAACATCTTAAGTACAAGAGTCAAAATTGTATTTTTATCAAATTACTGAGAAATGATTAGGCAGGCACACTTGTGGGTGATTAGGTATGTACAATTATACACACCAAGATGAGATATATACAGTTATACACACCAAGATTAAATACATACAGTTATACACACCAAGATGAGATATATACAGTTATACACACCAAGATTAAATACATACAGTTATACACACCAAGATGAGATATATACAATTATACACACCAAAATTAGATAGGTGTGTATAATTGTATATATCTCATCTTGGTGTGTATAAATCTATATATCTAATTTTGGTGTGTATAACTGTACATATCTCATCTTGGTGTGTATAACTGTATATATCTAATCTTGGTGTGTATAACTGTATATATCTAATCTTGGTGTGTATAATTGTATGTATCTCATCTTGGTGTGTATAACTGTACATATCTAATCTTGGTGTGTATAACTGTATATATCTCATCTTGGTGTGTATAACTGTATGTATCTAATCTTGGTGTGTATAACTGTATGATTAGATATATACAGTTATACACACCAAGATGAGATACATACAGTTATACACACCAAGATTAGATACATACAGTTATACACACCAAGATTAGATACATACAGTTATACACACCAAGATGAGATATATACAGTTATACACACCAAGATTAGATATATACAGTTATACACACCAAGATTAGGTATGTACAGTTATACACATCAAGATGAGATACATACAGTTATACATACCAAGATTAGATATATACAGTTATACACACCAAGATGAGATACATACAGTTATACTCATCAATATTAGATATATACAGTTATTCACACCAAAATTAGATATATACAATTATACACACGAAGATTAGATACATACAGTTATACACATCAAGATTAGATATATACAGTTATACACACCAAGATTGGATAAGTACAGTTATACACATCAAGATGAGATACATACAATTATACACACCAAGATGAGATATATACAGTTATACACACCAAGATGAGATATATAGAATTATACACACCAAAATTAGATATATACAGTTATACACACCAAGATGAGAAATATACAGTTATACACACCAAGATTAGATATATATATATACAGATATACACACCAAGATTAGATATATATATATACAGATATACACACCAAGATTAGATACATACAGTTATACTCATCAGTGTTAGATATATACAGATATACACACCAAGATGAGATATATAGAATTATACACACCAAGATTAGATATATACAGTTATACACACCAAGATGAGATATATACAGATATACACACCAAGATTAGATACATACAGTTATACTCATCAATATTAGATATATACAGTTATACACACCAAGATTAGATATATACAGTTATACACACCAAGATGAGATATATACAGATATACACACCAAGATTAGATACATACAGTTATACTCATCAATGTTAGATATATACAGTTATACACACCAAGATGAGATATATAGAGATATACACACCAAGATGAGATATATACAGTTATACACACCAAGATTAGATATAGACAGATATACACACCAAGATTAGATATATATACAGTTATACACTGCAAGATGAGATATATACAGATATACACACCAAGATTAGATATAGACAGATATACACACCAAGATGAGATATATATATATACAGATATACACACCAAGATTAGATACATACAGTTATACTCATCAATGTTAGATATATACAGTTATACACACCAAGATGAGATATATAGAGATATACACACCAAG